GCTCCAACACGGTCCTAGACGCCCCAAGGATCGCCCCAGCACGGCCTCAGAGGTCCCTAAGCGGCCGCCCAGACGGCGGAAAAAGGTGCTCTATGGGGTTCCGGGGCCTCCGGGGACGCCCCCAGACGTCCCAAGACAGCCCCAAAACAGGACACCGGGTTCCCAAGGGGCCCCAACACGACCCTGGAAGGCCGAGACTCGCCGAAATTCCGCTCCAGGACTCCGACGATGGGTTCCAGACGGCCCACGAGGCTTCCAAGACGCCCCAAGAGGCCCCCAAGAGGCCTCCCAAGAGGGGCCCAGGAAAGGCAACATTGATGGATTTTCCTTTTCGTTTGAAGGATTTGGGGGTTCTCACCTTTTCGGTTTTTCCGCCGCTGCAGGACGGCTCAGGAAGCCGCACGTATCGCTCCAAGACGGCCTCAGAGGCCCCCAAGCGGGCGCCGAGACGGCCCAAAAGGCGCCCCAGACAGCCCTAGAGGCCTCCAAGACGGCCCCAGAGGGCATCTAGAACGCCTGAAGGGGGTCCCCCGAGGGAGCATACGAACCGACATTTCGAGCTCTCCGCCCCTGGAGGTCCCCAGGAGGCACCAAGAGGCCCCAGGACGTCTCCAATAAGCCCCGACAGGCTACCTGACCATGCAAGCTCCCTTCCAGAAGGGCCGCGAGGCCCACGAGGCCTTCCAGATGGATGTGTGTATGTGTATTTCTAAAATCTCTCTCTCTCTCTATCTCTCCCTCTCTCTTCATCTATCTCTCTCTACATATGTGTGTCTATATATTTATGTGTGTATATATATGTTGTATATGTATGTGTATCTATGCAACACATATATACATATATGCATATATATATATATATATATATATATATATATATATATATGCATATCCCCGGGCACGAGGCCTAGGCGCTCGGAGCCCGGGCCTCGACGGGGCATGGGGGGACCGGGGACCCTGGGGGCCCTGCTGGGGCGCCTGGGGCTCTCTAAGATCGCCCGAAGACGGCCCCGGACCGCCAGAAACGGCGCTTCCAGACAGCGAAAGCGACCCCGCCGAGATCACCCCACAATTCGCCCCTGATTGTCCACGAGGCCTTCAAGAGGCCCCAAGAGGCATCCAAGATGCTTCCCAAGGAGTCCGTAGCCATTTGGCTCAAGATTAATCTATTTGTGTTTCAAGCGCACGTCGCTCAGATCTCACTCGGTCGCGCTCCGAATTGTTGGTTTTGCAGAATGATGAAATTGGCCGCCTTCGTGTTCGTGCCTGGCATTGATGCTCTTGGCCGATCGCTGAGAGGTCATGCTTCACTTGTCAGTGCATCTGGCTGCAGCTCTTGTGCTTCTTGCTTGTGGTCCAATGGTATCTGCTACAAAACAACGGAACATTATTGCAATGCTTGGGCAACGAACACCTGGTGTGGTAGCGGTTCGATTACGGAGCCAGTGCCGGCATCTACGCCATCACCGACCCTTGCGCCCATGTCGACGTCGACACTTGCGCCCACTTCGGCACCGACGATGGCAACCACGACCACTGCAGCCCCGACGCCGGCACCCACGTCGATTACTTCACCTGCGCTCACACCGTCGCCAACGACGGCGACTGCGGCGCCGACTCCGGCACCCACCTCGACGTCTAGTTGCAGCGGGGAGCCCTGCGACGATGTGTCTCACTGCCGATCGGAGTGGGGCTGGTGCGGCCCCTCCGCCTCTCACTGCAACGCGCAGTCGACCTGGAAGGCAGCCGGCTGCCGTGGGGTTTCTACGACCGCACCGATTTCGTCCACATCCTCTGCGGAGGCGCCGTCCACCACCGCGCCGCCCGCGCCCACGTCCTCCACTGCGTCGTCGTCCATGCAGAGCAGCACTGCAGCGGCGCCAACCACGACCACTGCAGCCACGACGCCGGCACCCACGTCGACCACCTCACCTGCGCCCGCACCGTTGCCACCCACGACCACTGCGGCGCCGACGCCGGCACCCACCTCGATGTCCAGTTGCAGCGGGGAGCCCTGCGACGATGCCTCTCACTGTCGATCGGAGTGGGGCTGGTGCGGCCCCTCCGCCTCTCACTGCAACGCGCAGTCGACCTGGAGAGCAGCCGGCTGCGCCGGAGGAGGGCCCACCACCGCGCCGCCCGCGCCCTCGTCGTCCTCCACTGCGTCGACGTCCGCGCAGAGCAGCCCGACGCCGGCGCCGTCTCCGGGTGCTGGTGGTAATGGCATCGGGGCGTGGTTCACGCAGGCCGATTTCGACGCCTTCTTTCCGAACATCAACAATGCGGCTTGCACGGGAGCGAACTTCTTCACGTACGCCGCGCTCGTGCAGGCAGCTTCGGCGTTCCCCAGCTTTGCCAATTCTGGCGACGTCGCGGAGGATAAGCTGGAGCTTGCCGCATTCTTGGGACAGACGAGCCACGAGACGACGGGGGGATGGGCAACGGCTCCGGGCGGGCCCCAGGCGTGGGGCTATTGCTTCAAGGAGGAGCGAGGATGCGAGACCGGCTCTTGCACGGGCTATTGTGCCGCTGGCAATCCGTGCCAAGGCCAAGGCTTCGACTGCACTTGTGCGGCTGGACAGACTTACCAGGGCCGCGGGCCCGTACAGCTTAGCTGGAATTACAACTACGGTGCCTTCAGCGAGCACGTGTTCGGCGACGCCTCCGTGCTCATCAACGACCCATCCCAGGTGGCCACAAACGCCACGCTCGCATACCAGGCTGGGCTCTGGTTCTGGATGACCCCGCAGTCGCCCAAGCCGTCGTGCCACGACGCCATGACCGGCCTGTGGCAGCCTACCGCGGCAGACAGATCAGTTGGGCGCGTTCCGGGCTACGGAATGACGACCAATATCATCAATGGCGGCCTCGAGTGCAACATGGCCACCAACT